GATAAAACTCAGACACGAAAGCAGTTTTTTATACGGAAAATATGATGCAACGATTTCTGATAAAATATCCGGTATCGAAAACGAAACTCATCGAATATAAGCAAAATTTAATATTCGCTGTTTTATGATCGGTATCATTAATGAGCAAGAAAATAATATTCAGCTGATAAACCACAGACCCATAAGATTAATCTCTCAGCAGAAGCAGATATCGTTAACTTACGCTTTGGATAGCGTCATATGCCAGCTTGGCTGATTTTTTCCAAAAAAACCAAAATTTCACGGAAACATTGTCGTCAATCAAAGTTAATGCAGAAGCGTTGTTGGAGGCTTCGTCAAATTCTTCGAACTTTAGCTGCATCTTGTCATCCTGAAAAATGGATCAGACATAAAATGACAGAGATATCGACATGAAAAATATCCCGTTAAAGCTGCTAACGAAGGATAGCCAAACAGACGCAGCACATACGGTCATAAAACATGCATTCCAGAAAAGTTCCAAAAGGAATAGACTGACAGTAAAAATAATGAAATCGGATTTAAACGGTGAATTTACAATGTAAAGAAAGAAAAATTAATTTCTCACTTTAAACCAGCAGCTGTTGCAACGCTTCCTTGCTTCTCAACGCCTAGGGAGACTACTTAAGCGGGCAACGGCTCCATGGTAATTAAGTGCCTGCGGTGCACAGAACGCACGACTGCGTCTCAAACATGGGTTAAAGAAAAGTGTTTTAGAAAAGTACCTCGGAACACTGGGGTTGCATTTTGCCACTCTTTCACCTATGGATCGTTGCAGTGTTCTTTGTCTTAAGCTTCTACAGGAATAGATTTGAACTACTAAACGACTCAGGACGACTCAAACAAGATTCCACCATCTTCCCACTATCCGCTGACCGATGTTGTCAAGTAACTTTTCATTAATCGCAGGCGCATCCCAAAACACCTTAACTTTGCCAATTTTAGGCGAATCCCATTAATATGGAACCAGAAAAAAACAATGAGAACGACAACCAGAGCAACTGCAACAATTCGAATATGACATGCTTATTCGTCAAACCAGTCTAATAATATTCTGAATGCACTTAGGAGGTCAGTTTCGAATGCACAAATAGAGAAGTTCGTCTGCTTATAGAAAGCTTTAACTTTTATAAACATGTAGGATGGTCTAACAGGACAACCGAAAGAATTCATATTACATATGGGTTCACAAGATAAAGTCAAAAATGCCCAGTACTAAGACTAACGCTAAAACATTCAGTGGAGATGTAAAATCTCGCCGATGACAATGGAATAACTGTTGTAAAAAAGTTACTTAGAGTGCGAAATTCGTCGAGACTTAATCGTCCAATGGATTTAAAAAAAGTTCGAGGTTGGTTTTGATCAATCATGAATCACTCTCAACCATTTACAGGTTGAAGGGCTTCTAACGAAAATTTCTTGCATTTCATAGATCTCTTTGGGGTCCACTTGCCTAACACTGGTACTGTTAGAACAATTCAAGATCACACCTGCAAGTGAAAGGGGAATACAAGTAGGTAATTAACAGGTACTGGAGATAACCTACTCTTTAAAGATCTTTAGATAAATATGTAAAACTCAGGTAAGCATTTATCGTATTCGAAAACAGATTACTTGCCACCGCAGGTAATAAACAGGCATGTCTCTCTAAGGAGATGACTTACTATTTATCGAACCGGCATGGACTATGCACATCTCCCGTTACCGTGAAAAACAACCACATAAAAGTAACAGCTAATAATCGAACACTGACAAAACAACCCATGACAGTTGTTTCCGCTGATCGTTTAACCGTTCAGTGTCGTCAAGAACCTCACTGTCTATGTGATATGTTATATGTATAAACTGAATCTTCAGGTTTGCATATAAAATGTTATTAGTGCAAATGTAACGCTGACAAAATTTAACCGCATGTATGCAACTGGAAGTGTTACATTTCAAGTAGTGATACCGGATTTATACAGCGAAACGGCAAACCGGCCCCCAACTCATTGCTGCCAGCCATATATGGAAACCATTTAATGTACCAGCTTCAGAGTCCTCAAACACATGCAATCCATTCGGTGAAGATCGCATCTATGAGGTGGGATAAACAAGAGCATGTTTGAGCACAAAATTTGTCATCATCCTTAGGCAAATATGTAGACAAAATACGATAACATCACTATCAAAAAATGGCCACTTTCTGATTCCGCCAGAAAATATTAGATTTTAATGATTACCGACTTACCGGGAAAAAGGGCATCGTTTGCTTGCTTTCAACAATTAAGGGAGGGAAAAATTTAAGCCACGGCTCCAGGGATTTTAAGCTCTGAAATGTATCCGATACAGAAGTTGCAACCGATGAAATGCATGTTCCACACTAACAAAACTTGACACTATCTGCATGAAAACATACAGAATAAACAAGATATGATAAATATGCCATCTTGATAATGAAATGCAACATTTGCCTATGGAACTGGAAAGTTGCCATTTGTGGTAGCTATCCAAGAACATCGACCTATATTTTTTCTCATACTCTGAATAAAAAATTCAGTAAGCCGTCGTCAAAAGATAATAAGTTAACAACAGAAGCAACTACAACAAATGGCAAAAACAGGCGTACTTCTTTAATTACGTAGTCGAATATAGTCGCGCCTGTTCGTTCCGAAATGAACCTGCAATGCAGTTTACCGTCGACGCTATCACATGACAGTGTAAGATATCCTTCTCCGCCGGTCTGAAATTGAAAGTGGAAGGAAACCGAGCACGCAGAACCGAAATCACATAACTAATTAGCTTACCTTTTTGCCGGATGTTCCAGTGTATTGCATGTATTCTATACGACAGTCTTCTTTAAACCAACGCTCGCTTGTGTCGGCAAATATTTCGTCAATTTCTGTAAAAAAGCAAAATGAACGTTCTGAAACATTAAAAACAAATATGTAACAATAAATTAGTGCTGACGGTATATACTTCGCAAGAAACATTCAGCGCAGCAGAAAGTACCTACAAACTAAGAAACGCGGAGGCGAAGGAAACGCAGGAAACTTTTGTTCATGGCTTCCAGCCGATGATTAAATGCTAATATTTTGAAAACCTACAACTACCATTACACATATAAGGTGAAATGAACACTTACAGCGATTAGGAATGCGGTTTCTCTACGGTGTTATGATGTGATTATGATTGTCGCTACAACGCTAAAACTAAAACTTGGAATCGAAATGTCGAAAAAAACTGGTGTCCTTATATACGCCAAGGGTACCAACAGAAAAAGGACAAAATGCGAAGAAAGCAAGAAAATGCCAAATTTCAACCAAAATACGCTGCTGGCATCGTGAGGAATGTTGGCGTTGAATTAGGAGCTCCGAGTACGACCAACGACAGAAATGGTAGCCAATACGCAAGCGCTCCCTTAATTTCATTTACTACGAACGGTGTGGTGCTGAAGCCGTTAAATTTCAAGCATCAGATCATGCGTTGAGTTGCATAAATTTTTTCAAGTACAATATCGTGACAAGGCGATCACGATGGAGTACAAACATAAAACGGTACCCGTTCATAAATGCAAAGCATTATCATCCGCTCGTCTACAGTTTACCTTCGTCTGCTAAGCAACCCAGGCAACCCGAACAGGGCTCTTTCTGTTCACAAAGGTAAAAATTTTCAGGCAGGTTATATTTCCTGGCCAACTCTTTTTGTGCTTCGGTGGAAAGAGCTACGCAACTCGTTTCAGTTCTATCATCGTCATCTTAAATTGCAACGTTTTCAGAGAACCGAACGTTACTTACTGGCATCGTTACCATCACAGAGGCGCTGCGGTTGCTCCGGCGTTTTCGAATCTTCTTTTATTCGAACATCTCCTTTCCCAGATACTGGAGATTTTTTGAAACTAAAACTTATTTTGCTTTTTCCTAAAAGCGTCATGAACATCAGCAATGAGTGTACTTTAAAAATGCATTATATCGCGCTTACCGTCGTCTTTGTTCGATCTGCTGGCATCACTCGATTCTGTTTTGACAGAGTGGCCGAATACTCCGCTAGAACTTTTCAACGACGAATCCAAGCTAGAGGGTTTAAAGCTGAAAGGTGTTGAAATTTTCCCTGCGAAAAACATTTGAGGTCATCAACGTGTTGGATAATTTCTTGTGATAAGAAACTTACCTTCCGTTTTCGGCGAACCGGTCTGGCGACCGGAAAAAAGTGACTGCGACGGCGACAACGACAAAGCATTGATATCTTCTGATCCTGAGGTGCCGGAGAGTTTGAAATTGAACGGAGATGTACCACCACTGCCGAACAGACCACCCGCTTTCCCTAAAAAATAAACAGTAGAATTATTTAACAAATGATTCATTTTTTATTTTAAACCTGAGTCGTTGCCGCTCTTTGTGGTTAGTGATTCCTTTGTCTGCGGGCTGAAACTGAATGTGATATTGTTTTTGGCTAAAAGTGAGAAAAAATTGTAATAAAGAATTAATTTCGATCATTTAATTTACTTCCAGTGTTCGATGCAGTGCTCTTCTGCTCGTTCTTTATCGTTGATAATAGATCGGCTGTCTTAGAAATGGGCGGTAACCCTTTGCACAGCTTATCCCATTCGGATTGGAAGAGGTCCGCCTCAGCTTTTGTCCTGAACTTGGCGCAGAACAGTTCTTCCTTCGTGATCCCGTCTGAGAAGTCGTTGGCACCCCACATCCAACTCCGGTCGTTCCTATGGGCTAGCGGCACACTTGGGGGCAGGTAATGATTCAAACACACCTTGAGAGACTGATCCTGTCGCATGACCACGCGCACGTTACCGGTGTCGTTGTGCTTAAGAAGTCGCAATTCTCCGACGCATCTTTCCTTCCACTCTTTTTCAACGAAGCGGAAAAGTTTGGCAGGCATTTTGAACGCTTCAACCTCGTGTTCTTCACCCGTTTTAACCACGACTTCCGGCAAAGACACCACTGGCTCAAAATATGCATCTGTATTGCCACTGCATTCTGCTGAATCTTCTTTATCCGGTTCGTCGGTCTTGCCATGAGAAGTATCCTTCTCCTTCGACGAATTTTCTTCTGCATTGCTGCGAGGTGTCCCAAAAGAGAACGACAATGGACCAGTCGCTGACTTAGCGGGTCCTAAAGTGTTGCCGAAGGAAAAGTCAGCTTTGGTAGTCGAGTCGGGGTGAGAAGTACTCTGGCCTTTTGGTTTCGCAGTTTCACCTGAAGTCTCCTTCGCAAAACCGAAAGAGAATCTCGAGGCTTGCGCAGTGTTCTGTGACGAAAAAGAGAAAAGGCATGATTTGGGAGTAGCGTCAGTAGTGGTTGCAGAAACAGCATGTTCCTGCTTAGACTCAGTGGTTTTTGGGGCGCCGGTTTTCACGTTCCCACAACAGCAACAGGCAACGGCATTTGCATCGTTCGAAACGAGGCAAGTGGAACATGTCCAAGATCCGGGGTTCGGTTTAAACTTGTCCATTAGATTACAAGAAGCAGGGGCCACTGAAGAATGATCAGTCTTGTCCGCGACCTTTTCGACTCGTTTCACATTTGACAGGGTCGCATTTTCTCCCAGACTTGCCGCGCATTCCTCAAAACATTTTTTAAATGCTTCAGCATCCTTTTCGGCTTTGAATTTCGCCGCAAAAAGTTCTCTTTGAATAACTCCCTCCGAAAAATCATTGCAGACCCAAGTAAATGCATTCGGCTTTTTCGACATGGGCACCAGTTTCATGTCAGATGACAAATAATGATTTGCGCACAGCTTAAATACCTGTTCTCTTCGCATGACTACTCTTACTTTACCAGTAACAGGGTGCTTCAGAATCTTGAGATCTCCAATACCCCGTTCTTTAAATTCCGCAGGCTCACTGCAAAAACGATATAATTTTGCTCGGCACTTGAACAAAACCTGCAACGAATAAAAATTCAACATGCTCAAAATAAATCCAATTAACGGCCCTACCGTTTCGTCTTCTTCTCCTGTTTTCACTTCTACCAACTGTGGCAACGGGATGACAGGCTCAAATTCGACGTTCGGTTCATACGTGGATGCATCTGTCTCCCCATCAATGACAGTGTTCTCGGTGGAGGTCTCGCTTTTAACAGAGTCTGTTGATGGTCTATACTTGGAAAATAACTAAATAAACGCAACTTAAATCATTTGATAATGAACAGATAATAGCAGAAGAAACAGTTTTAATATTATGCAAATTTTTCAGCGGGACAGCAAAAAAACTATATGCGATTAGATGAAGAACGTTAGTGAAGACAAACCAAGTATCAATTTTGAGATGCATTCTAGCCACTGCTTTAAGTTTTGTAAGCCCAAAAACTGCATACGATCCTGCGTTTCATTGACTGACTACCCATTTACCTTTGGCTGAATTACACAACAACAAGGTGAATTCACTATTCAAAAGGTTTGGCGGTAGAGCAGAAACATTTTGAATTCGAACCCATCTTTAGCACGTGCGAGTGAGAACATAAGGAAAAAGGAAAGTCTGCAACCGTTGGAATATCGGTTTTCTTAGTGCTATGAATGGAAGATATTTACAGCGCTCTTCATTTCATACCTACGGTGTGGCTCTGATCACCATTTACGTGCCATCAGTCAGAAATTTAATGACAGAGTAGAGCCATTACTTGACATAGTGTGTAATCTGTTCCCCTGACATGGAGTAATACTCATTTATCAACGTTAGAAGGAAACACGAGTGATCCGACCGGGACGCGAACCCTGGCCTTTAGACTCTTTGAGTGCGATGCTCCTTCGACTGCGCAACCCTGATCACTGAGAATAACGACAAAGGCACTTATCAAAGCCGGTACCACATGGATATTATATCGCATGGGCAATGTGTATTCAAACTAATTAAACTATTATTAAAGTTTCAGACATTAACACGCAAATTAAAAACATAATCGCGAAGTGACCATATGGACATGGCACTAAACACATACAACGCACTCAAGGAGGTCGTTAAACAATATGAAAACATTGCATAAATGCACCAAATGTGAAAACAATTTCATTATGTTGCACGGTCCCGTTTGCTTCTACGTCGCGTAAATCAAGAGAAGCGACTGGAGGTTCCTCTTCTAATCGGCTAGTAAAGCAATAGTCACTGCATCACTTGGAGCG